AAGCTCTTAAGCATAGTACTTATTTATATGTTAGTTGTTGGTTTATTTTTTAAATAATTTTTATTTTTTTAAAAGATTTTATTTCCTTATTCCTGAGAGAGACACACAGAGAGAGGCAGAGACACAGGCAGAGAGAGAAGCAGGCACCATGCAGGGAGCCCGATATGGGACTCAATCCCAGGTCTTCAGTATCATGCCCTGAGCCAAAGGCAGATGCTCAACCGCTGAGCCACCCAGGGGTCCCTAATTATTGGTTTATTATTTTGACAAATATTTCACAGTGTCTTGGTGTAAATAACCTAAGTTTTCTAATGTTCAAAGAAAAATTCAATGATGAAATTATTAAGAGATGAAGTAATTGCTTGGGGTTCTGCTATTTTTCACAAAATAACTTAGTTTTCATTCTTGTCTTTTTTTAAAAAATTTTTAAAAATATTTTGTTTATTTATTCATGAGAGACAAGAGAGAGAAAGAGGCAGAGACACAGGCAGAGGGAGAAGCAGGCACCCTGCGGGGAGCCCAATGTAGGACTGGATCCCTGGTCTCCAGGATCACGCCCTGGGCCGAAGGTGGCACTAAACCACTGAGCCACCCGGGCTGCCCCATTCTCATCATTTTTTATTTTTTATTTTTTTTTAAAGAAAAACTAATTTTTAAAAATATTTATTTATTTATTTATTTATTTATTTATTTATTTATGAGAGAGAGAGAGAGAGAGAGAGAGAGAGAGAGAGAGAGAGAGGCAGAGACACAGGAGGAGGGAGAAGCAGGCTCCATGCTGGGAGCCTGACATGGGACTCGATCCCGGGTCTCCAGGATCATGCCCTGGGCCAAAGGCAGGAGCCAAACTGCTGAGCCACCCAGGGATCCCCAATTCTCATCATTTTAAAAGTTTGTTTAGTTTATTTATTGATCTCTACACCAAACATGGGACTCAAACTCAAGACCCAGAGACCAAGAGTCACATGCTTTTCCTAATAAGCCATCGAGTTGCCTCCATTTTCAGCATTTAATATCCTAAATCTACCTCTTATTAACTACCTTGACTATATTTTTAGTATAGCTGATAATTTTTTTCTTTGAAGAAAACTTAGAAACTGTCTGTAATCTTCAAGTGCTTGGGATATGGCTACCTGTTCCCCTTCCCATGTAAGTCAGAACCAAAAGGTAGGGATCCCTGGGTGGTGCAGTGGTTTGGCGCCTGCCTTTGGCCCAGGGCGTGATTCTGGAGACCCCGGATCGAATCCCACGTCGGGCTCCCGGTGCATGGAGCCTGCTTCTCCCTCTGCCTGTGTCTCTGCCTCTCTCTCTCTCTGTGTGTGACTATCATAAATAAATAAAAATTAAAAAAAAAAGAAAAAAAAAAAAAGAACCAAAAGGTAAAAACACTTATATGAAAATAAAACATTTTAGTCCCAAACAATACCTTATAAATCTTTAGTTTCAACATACTGCATAGGTTTATGTAATTAGATGGCAAAAGATTCTTTCCTCCTTTACAACTAGCAAGGATTTATATAGACTTTACCTCCTTTCATCTTCTTTGTGTAGTTTTATGGTGTCATCTTTCTCTCATATTTCCTGGTTCAAAACTTGTCATCCTTGACTATTGTACCCTCCCTCCAACCTTCACTTAGTTATACCTGTCCAATCTGTTTCTTCCTATCTGTTCTCAAAACGGCCTTGGGCTCCTATATAGTCAATTTTACCATCTCCAGTTCATGTCAGATATTTCCAGGGAAAGATATCTCAGAAATTTTCAGCAACTACTTATGGCCTCTGGACTAATGTCTAAACACCTTAGCCTGGGTACAAGCAAGACTTTCCAGGACTCCACAGAACTCCCATTACCCCTTTTTCAAATTTCCTACAGTCCAGTCAATCTGTACTCCTCTACTGATGTATCTATCCACTCATTATCCTACCCCTACGGACTCATTTCCTACAAAGTTATCCTCTTTATTTGACATTCCTACCTCCTTTTTGCCAGCCTTCCCATTTCACAATTGAAGAAGTGATTAGGATAATGTCTGTGGCAGGAAATGAATCCAAGTTTCTCAGACTCTTGACTCCTTTTTTTTTTAAAAGATCTATTTATTTATTTATTTATTTATGTATTTATTTATTTATGTATTTATTTATTTATTTATTTATTTATTTATTTATTTATTTATTTATGATACACACACACACACACACACACACACAGAGAGGCAGAGAGAGAAGCGAGCTCCGTGCCAGGAGCCCGATGTGGGACTCCATCCCGGGACTCCAGGATAGCGCCCTGGGCCAAAGGCAGGCACCAAACCGTTGAGCCACCCAGGGATTCCAGACTCTTGACTCCCCTAAATACTTCAGTGACTCCTAAATACTCCGGTGTGTATCTCCTAAGAAACAAGGATATTGTCTCACATAACCACAGTACAATGATCACAGGAAGAAATTTTGCATCGATGTAGTATCAGGATATATTATATAGGCCACACTTCAGATATCACCAACTATTCTTTATAGTGAATTTTCCCCAATTCAGAATGCCATCCAGGATCAAGCCTGGTCTTTATTTCTCATATTTCTTCAATATTCTTTTTTTTTTAAGATTTTATTTATTTATTCATGAGAGGCACAGAGAGAGAGAGAGAGAGAGAGAGAGACAGAGACAGAGACACAGGCAGAGGGAGAGGGAGAGGGAGAAGCAGGCTCCACGCAGGGAGCCCGAGGGGACTCGATTCCGGATCTCCAGGACCACGCCCGGGGCTGAAGGCAGGCGCTAAATCGCTGAGCCACCCACGGAGCCCCTCTTCAATATTCTTTAACCTGGAATAGATCCTTTGCCTTGCTTTATTTTCAAGACATTGCTAGTTTTTTTTTCTTTCTTTCTTCTTTCTTTTTTTTTTTTTTTTACTTTTTAAAACTATTATTTGAAAAAAAAAAAAAACTATTATTTGAAGGGGGGGGGCGCAGAGGAAGAGAATCTTTAAGCAGACTCCCCAGTGGAGCATGGAACCCATGGTGGGGCTCAATCCCAGGACCCGTGAGATCATGACCTGAGCTGAAACCAAGAGGGGGGACACTCAACTGACTGAGCCACATAGGTGCCCCAAGACATTAACATTTTTTTTTTTTAAAGAATAAGGCTAGTTGTTTGTAAAATTCTCCTCAGTGTGGGTTTTTCTGAACCTTACCTCGTGATTAGATTCAGATTAGGGGGCAGCCCCAGTGGCTCAGCGGTTTAGCGCCACCTTCGGTCCAGGGCGTGATCCTGGAGACCTGGAATCGAGTCCCGTGTCGGGCTCCCCGCATGGAGCCTGCTTCTCCCTCTGCCTGTGTCTCTGCCATTCTCTCTCTCTGTGTTTCTCAGGAATAAATAAATAGAATCTTAAAAAAAAAAATAGATTCAGATTAGGGATTTCCAGCAGGAATACTACATAAGTGAAGTTGTGTGCTTCTTAGTGAATCACATCACAGAGCACACTATGACAGTCTCATTAGTGACAATATTCAACTTCAATCACTTGGGTATGACAGTGTCTGGACCCCTGTAAAGTTGCTTTCCTCCCTTTGTGATCAATAGTAATCTGTGGAGACATATTCTAAGACTGTCAAATTTTCACCCAAGTGGCTTTAATATTCACTGATGTTTAATGACACACTTATCACTATGATAGTTGCAAAATGGTGACTTTCCTAACTGTTGCTCCTTCTACATTTATTACATGGATTTGTACTGGAGGAACTTTCCCTTCTTCCCCTATCTTACTTTTTAAGCAGGATTTTAAGAACCTTAAAAAATAAAATGGAGGAGTGCGTGGGTGGCTCAGGGGTCGAGCATTTGTCTTTGGCTCAGGTTGTGATCCTCTGGTCCTAGGATCAAGTCCCCTATCAGACTCCTCAAGGGAGCCTGCTTCTCCCTTTGCCTATGTCTCTGTCACTCTCTGTGTCTCATGAATAAATAAAATATTTTAAAAAGAAAGAAAGAAAGAAAGAAAGAAAGAAAGAAAGAAAGAAAGAAAAAGAAAGAAAAAGAAAAGAAAGAAAGCTGATGCCATTTTAACTGGAGTGTAGTTAGTTCCCATTCTGCTTCAAGGTGCTGGGTGAGTTTCTCTGGACACGGACTTTCATTCCTGGGCCTCCAGTTGAGGGCTCTCAGCCTGTGGGTGATGGGCTGGGTCATATTCCTGCAAAGGGTGGACTATCATCACACAAATTCGAAGCCCATTCTTCTGTTGTGTATGCAGTTGCCAGTTCCAGATATTCGAAAAGGACGCTCGAGGTGCACCTGGGTGGCTCAGTGGGTTAAGCCCTGGCCTTCCAATTCCTCCGCTCAGTGGGGAGTTTGCTTCTCCCACTTCCTCTGTGATCTCATACATACATAAAACAACACTCGTCTCAATTGTTTGGGAATAAAATGCCTTTGGTCTCCATCTCTACCCTACCTTTCTGCTTAACTTGGGGGTCACAGAAACATTTATTCCAAATGTTTCCCAGTCTAAATGTGCTCTACAGTCACCTGAAGGCTAGAGAATTGTTTAAAGCATGGATTGCTGGGGTTCGGCACCAAGAGAGTCCAATTTAACTCAGTAGATCTGGATTAAGGCGCAGGAATCAGCAATCCGGGTATAGTGTGCGGATCACACTTTGAGAAACATCACCTTCCAAAAGGATGAAGGGCAAACCTCCCTTCATCCAGACGTTGGCGCCACTGGCAACTCCCAAGGTGCCTACCAGCTCAGGAAAAGGCGGGGGGACCGGGGGGAGACCAAAGCAGGGCTTTCACCCTCCCGCGCCCGGCGGCCTTCGGAAACCTACATCGGGTTGATGCGGGTGGGACGCGAGGTCCCAGGTGCGGGGTGAAGGCGGAGGAGTCCGCGCCGCCGCTGGGTGTGGGCAGGGCCGGCCCGCGGGCGCTCAGAGGGCGGGGTGGGGGCGGGTCCCCCTCGGCGCCCGCGGGGCCGCGGCCCGGGAGCCCCTCCCCGGCCCTGCCCCCTCCCCCCGCGCCCAGCCGGGTGCTTAGTCACCGTGAGGCTGCGCTCGCCCGGGGCCCGCGCACCCCCTCCCCGGAGCGCCCGCGGGCCGCTCCCCTGCGCGCACTTCCGCGTGCATGGCCCTGCTGCCCCGGGCCCTGGGCGCGAGCGCGGGGCCGAGCTGGCGGCCGGCGGCGCGCGCCTTCCCCGGCTTCCCGCGGCAGCGGCCCACCCGCGCGCTCTCCCGCGCCATGGCCTGCAGGCAGGAGCCCGCAGCCGCAGCGCCCGCCGCCCGCCGCCGCGGCCTCGTTCGACTACTTGGTGATCGGCGGCGGCTCGGGCGGGCTGGCCAGCGCGCGCAGGGCGGCGGAGCTGGGCGCCCGGGCCGCCGTGGTGGAGAGCCACAAGCTGGGCGGCACATGCGTGAGTACGGGGCCCCGCAGCCCGGCTTTGTCTCCGCCCGGTGCGGGCTGCCCGTGCTCTTTGCCTGGCGCGGTCCGTCGGTCCGCGGCGGCGGGCGGGCTCCCGGCCGGGGTAGAGGAGACCGGCTCCTTGGTGGGGCCCCGGAGCTAAGCCCGGGTGCAGCCTTAACCGTAGGGGGTGCATCTAACAGAACTTCCCCGCATCCTTCCTCCTCCAGTGGGAAGGGCACCGTAATCCCCCCTTGATCGCACCCCCAGATCCGTGGAGCAGAACTGCCCGTGGAAGAATTGCAGCCGGCCTCGGGGGTCCGGGTGTTGGGGAGCGGAACGGGGGACATGCCCTTGAGAGATGCGAATCCTGATCCTCTCCTTTCAGTTTCAGGGGCAGAGTGATTTTACAGTAGTGGTTCTCACCCTTGCCTTGCGAATTCGGAGCACCTGAGGAGTTGGAAAAATTCTGCTGTGGGTTCCACTCCCGTGGCTTCTGATTTCACTGGCCCGAGGTGCAGCCTGGGCTTTGGGAGGTTTAGAAGCTCCACAGGGGTTCTGATCGCAGCCAACGTTGATAATCACGGACTGTAGGTTACTCCAGAGTAGGAGTTACTGAATTCTCAGACGTTCGTTTGTTTCTTTGTTTTTTGTTAAGTCTTTTCTTTTTTTTTTGGGGGGGGGGGGGCGGACGAGAGCGGGTTTTAAAACTGCTTCCAAAAAAGAGGGTCGTAAATCTTAACGATTGAGAAACCTCATCACATTTATTTATTTTTAAAGATTTTTATTTATTTATTCATGAAAGACACACACACAGAGAGAGGCAGAGACACAGGCAGAGGGAGAAGCGGGCTCCACGCAGGGAGCCTGACCTGGGACTCGATCCTGGGTTTCCAGGATCATACCCTGGGCTGAAGGCGGCACTCAACCGCTGAGCCACCCAGGCTGCCCCAAGAATCCCCATCATTTAAAAAAAATTTTTTGTTCCCATGTTATTGGTGTGACCTTTTCTATCACAAGACTTGGGTGAGGTACTTGCTGTTAACATTAAAATTCTGTGTCCAAGACTAACCTGGAATTGGGAAGGGTTCTCCAAATTATTTTGGAAACTGGTGTTTATACCAAATTGGGAACTCCTTAAGGGCAGGGATGGGTTCCTGTGTTTGTGCACCTCTTATCATCTTAACAAAATATCTTGCTCAATAACCATACGTGTAATGAATCAAACTCAGAATTGACAGTTTGTGAAAGGGCTGACTCCATTGTCCAGTACTTATTTTTCAAATTCAAAATGAAAGTGGGAGTAGAAAGGAGGAAAGGAAAAAATCCCTGGTAATGATCAACTTGCACCTTGACATCTTAGTGCATACCTCCACTAGAAGTCTTGTGTCTGCAGAAAGCAGATTGAGGGGTCCCCCTGGGCAGCTTGTGAGAGCACTTGATGACTTCTTTCTATTCCTTTACTTTTCTTTGTCTTTTTTTTTTTCAGATTTTATTTTTTAAGTAATCTCTACACCCAACGTGAGGCTCGAATTTATAACCCCAAGATCGAGTCACATGCTCTACTGACTGAGCCAGCCAGGCCCCCCTGTACCTCTTTTCTCAGTTTTCCACCTTGTGCATTATATCATGATCTGTTTGTGGCATCCATCATCATTGTCTGGTTCCACTGATATTAATCAAGAGAAGGGGCTGGCGTCATTTTTAGGTACTTGTTAGGAATATGAATTCACTAAGAGGTAAATTACTTCTGAGAGCGAGTGAAGGACAGGTTTGGACAGCCAGCCATTTACTGCTTCCTTATACAGTGCCTGGCCTTGCTTGTTTCATTCTGCTACAGCAACTTTTGTTTTCCTGTGAGCATTGGTATCTTGAGGAAATCCCCTATTTCACATCTTTATGACATTCCATTGGGGTTCTTTTCAAATTGGCTTTTGGTGTTGAATTACAAGGAAGGGTGTAGGTATGTGTTGAATATCAGAGAATATATTACAATCAATAAGACCAGAATTTAGATTTAAGAACTCCAATTATCTGGGGCACCTGGGTGGCTCAGTTGATTGAGCATCTGCCTTCAGCTCAGGTCATGATCTTGCAGTTCTGTGATCTGGCCCCACAGGCTCCCTGCGCAGTGGGGAGCCTGCTTCTCCCGCCTCCCTGCTCTTCCTCTCTTGGTATCTCTGCCACTGTCTCCATTTCTCTCTCTCAAATAAATAAGATCTTAAAAAAAAAAATTCCAATTATCTAGGCTATCACTAGTTGCAATATCAAACTTATGATATCCAGTGATTTACAAGCTGGTATAGGGAACATAGGCCTTCTGAAACACATTTCATTTGTTCGAGTCCTCATTTCCTGTATTCTAAGTGCTAAGTACTTGGATTGAGGCTGGCGGATAGAAAAGGGTAGATACGAACATATATAAGGCAAAGATCCCCTCCCACAGGGAATTTGCAGTATGGTGTGGGAGCAAAATGTGACGTCACCTCCAAAGTGAGATGGTCTGTGTTAATTGCTGCAATAGTAAACAAAGTAGTCGAGAGTGTTGGAATCATCTTTTCTGCCTGGTTACCACGGGATGGATGGTTCTGTGAAGGAGAGAGTATCCTTCTGAACTTGAATGGAATGAATACCATGTTTTGATAGGGTAGGGTCAGAGGCAGAGTATGTTGTGTAATCGGATTTGACTGGAATAGGGGTGTCTCTTAAAGAAGTAAGATAGGGGGAGGTGATGGGTTGGTTGTGTTAAAAATATGAAGTTTCTAAGGGTGCTTGGCTGGCTCAGTCCATAGAGCATGTGACTCTTGATCTTGGGGTGTGAGTTTAAACCCCACATTGGGTGTAGAGCTTACCTTAAAAAAAATGAAGTCAATTGTGTGGAAGGGGTTTTGAGTTGGAGGAGTGCATCAATAAAAGTGGTTTTGTGATAGTACTATTGAGAGCTGTCCTTTGGGGAAATCAAATAGAAGTTTCTTTAGTATTGATAGTTTGACCATTTTTTTTTTCCTAAATAAAATATTTTGATTCTGGACCGTGGTGAATATTTTAAGTTGCTGTGGGTGAATTCACCTTGAAGATTCAAATTAAAGTCTTCCAGTAGTTAATGGGATTGTGTTTTTGTTTTCTTTTTTTAATATTTAATTAATTTATTTATTTGAGAGAGAGAGTGCACAGCCAGGGGGAGGAGCAGAGGGAGAAAGAAAGGGAGAAGGAGAAGCAGACTCCCCACGGAGCAGGGATCCCTATATGGGGCTGGATCCCAGGACCCTGAGACCGCAACCCGAGCTGAAGGCAGACGCTCAATTGACTGAGCCACCAGGTGCCCAGTGTTTTGTTTTTGTTTTATTTTTGTTTGCTCATTTACTAATTCTTATGCCAGGTATACAGGTACTTTTTTTTTTTTCAGGTACTTTTTTAGATGCTAGAATCATGGCAACAAACAAATTCCTGTCCTTGTGGAGCTTACTTGTTATCTGTAGTTTCTAAGTTTTCCATGCAATATTTTTGTAATAGTTTTTTTTTTTTTTAAAGACCAAGTTCTTGGGGATCCCTGGGTGGCGCAGCGGTTTGGCGCCTGCCTTTGGCCCAGGGCGCGATCCTGGAGACCCGGGATCGAATCCCACGTCGGGCTTCCGGTGCATGGAGCCTGCTTCTCCCTCTGCCTGTGTCTCTGCCTCTCTCTCTCTCTCTCTCTCTCTCTCTCTCTGTGACTATCATAACTAAATAAAAAAAAAAATCAAAGTCTTTAAAAAAAATAAAGACCAAGTTCTTGTTTTTAGGGTTGTTTGTTTGTTTGTTTTTGTTTTGCTTTGTTTTTTGGTCTGTTGTAAACCTTCCTCCGTGGAAGTTTAGACTCATGGAGTGATAGAGCTGGAAGTGATTTTGGAGAGCCAATAATCCAGATTGACTACAGTCTTTTTTGAAGATAGAAGCACTAACATAAGCTTGCTGACTTAGTTTTTTTAGAGTAGTGGTCTTTTTTTTTTTTTTTTTTAGGATTTTATTTATTCGTGAGAGGCAGAGAGAGACACAGGCAGAGGGAGAAGCAGGCTCCCCATGGGAGCCTGATATGGGACTTGATCCTAGGACCCTGGGATCATGACCGGAGCCAAAGGCACTCAATCACTGAGCCACCCAGGTGCCCCTAGTGGAGTGGTTATTAAAAATTTTTTCTGGAAAAAAAAAAATTTTTTTTTTCTGGGAGGGGATGCCTGGGTGGCTCAGCAGTTTAGTGCCTGCCTTCAGCCCAGGATGTAATGCTGGAGTCCTAGGATCAAGTCCCACATCAGGCTCCCTGCATAGAGCCTGCTTCTCCCTCTGCCTGTGTCTCTGCCTCTCTCTCCCTGTGTTTCTCATGAATAAATAAATAAAATCTTTAAAAAAGATTTTTTTTTCTGGGCAGCCTGGGTGGCTCAGGGATTTAGCGCTGCCTTTAGCCCAGGGCATGAGCCTGGAGACCCCGAGATCGAGTCCCAATTCGGGCTCCCTGTGTGGAGCCTGCTTCTCCCTCTGCCTGTGTCCTCTGCCTGTGTCCCTGCCTCTCTCTCACGCTCTCTCTGTCTCTCAGGAATAAATACATAAATTTTTTTTTTTAGATTTTATTTATTTATTCATGAGAATACACACACACACAGAGAGGCAGAGACACAGGCAGAGGAAGAAGCAGGCTCCATGCAGGGAGCCTGACGTGGGACTCGATCCCAGGTCTCCAGAATCACACCCTGGGCTGAAGGTGGTGCTAAACCCCTGAGCCACTCGGGCTGCCCAAATAAAATCTTAAAAAAAATTTTTTTTCTATCACTGTCTTATTTATTTATATTTTTATTTTTTAAAGATTTTATTTATTCATGAGAGACACAGAGAGACAGGCAGAGACACAGGCAGAGGGAGAAGCAGGCTCCCTGTGGGGAGCCCAATGCGGGACTCTCAGGACTGCAGGATCACACCCTGAGTCAAAGGCAGATGCTCAACCGCTGAGCCACCCAGGCGTCCCTATTTATTTTATTAAAAAAA